TTATACTGTGGCTATTATAGATTTTGCACCTCTCATGAACTCCTACGTCACTATCCTGCATGTGTTTCTATTGAGACTACAAACGAGGCAGCTATGTCTTGACCTATGAATACTTTTAGCTCCCTAGTTTTTATGGGAACAAGTATTTTATAAGCTTAGCTTCAATTCTCAGTTTAGATGACATGCTGAAAATAAGAGCTGGTCAAAAACAATGATGTTTGTGGACACTTTGTTGAAATTTCCTATTACTATTATTATTTTACTTCTGATAAAACAGAAAACTAGAAAGTTCTTTTTAAAAAACAAATATTGATTTTTCTATATACCAGAAATTGTTTTTGGGGGGAGTGTGTATATATAAAATGTGTATGTGTGTGTATTATAATATTGTATTGTATATTATATATAAAATGTGTGTGTGTGTGTATCCATCCATCCATACCTGGGATACCCTATGCACATACCCCCCATTCTATCTATCTATCTAGATAGATCTGTGTATATAGATAGATCTATTTAGAGATAGATAGATAGATAGATCTATCTGTACGCACACACTATATATATAGTTTTATGGTTTTCACCTTAACATTTTTTATATATATAACTTTTAAAGGTGAAAACCATAAAACTATATATGTGTGTATATATATATGTGTGTGTATGTATATGTGTATACACGCACACACATGCATATATGGTGTGTGTGTCTATATATATTTTGGGTATCCCAAGTAAAGATAGATGGATGGATATATACACAAATGAAAACCATAAAATTCCTCCCCATCAATTTGGACTGTGTGGCTTGCAAAAAGAATATGTAAAAATTAATAAAACTGTTTTATTTTTCCCTTGCTAAAACAGTGGTTATCAAGAAACAGCCATTGCCCATCATTTTATTTTTTGAGGAGAATATTTCAATGAACTGTACAGAAAGCACATTCCCTTCCAATTTCAGACTCCTTTTTTTAATGAGAGCAAACTGTTCATCAGTAGAACTCTATATGTTGTAGTGAACTAGGAAGGGATGTAATTACAGGTGTTGGATTCCTATGAAGTTGAATGTTTTGATTAAAGCTTTGTAATTTTATTAAATTACAAAGCTTAACATTATTTTTATTTTACGTGCATTGTGTCCCTGAAGAACAGTAAATGCAGCTGCAGAAAACTTTGTGACTGCAAAGTCATGATTTTTGCCATCCACCTGAAAGGATTAAATAAGAATACAATCACTGAGCAAGCATGTCTCTCCACCAATTAGCATTCAGGGTCACATATCTCTTGTTTGAATCTGCTTATGTCAAGTCCAGTGATTTGCAATCAAAAGATTCTCCTTCTTTCCTGTTTGGTGTGCAGGTCACTTGCATTCATTTCCTACTGGTTCTGTTGTTGGGCTGTTGCTTTTCTTTTGTGTTTTCAAGAGGTAAGCTCTGGATATCAGGTTCCTCTGTGACAAGACACACTCTGCTATTTATATAAATTGGTGCAAGGCAGCTGAACAGAAAGAAAAGAACCATGCGTTGCAACTTATGCTTCTGCGATCTGCTTTGGCTTAGCATTTCTATTTATATAAAGAGACCCAAAGCCAGCAAAGCACAGAAGAACATCGTCATTCTTTAATAAGCCACATAGAATGAATGGTTATTTTTTGTTCACAGTGCTTCATACTAAGTTGGCTATCTGGTTGGCTTGAAGCAGGTCTATACTTCTCTGTGTTTTGTTTAGCCTTTTTCTGTTCTGTTATGTTTGACTGGCATTCTGAGTTTTACAGAATGGCTGTTTGCATTTTCCGTCATATCCCCAGCAGAGTCTAAAGAGATGCTTTGCTTTTCTTATTGGAGAGGTGGTGACCAGTAACTGAACCAGAAGCTCTATAAATGATTTACCTGATAACTCACAATGCCAAGCAAAACCTTCTTGTAACTTGGGTACCAAAGTAGTTCATCTTATGGACCATGGAAAAAGCTTTATAGATCCTTGGTGATTTATGGACTATAGTTAAGAGCTTTGGCTATATTGTAATACAGATACTATTGCAATGGGTGCAGTATAAGAAGATTATAAAAATACACTAGAAGGTAACGTGAATAAGGCTGTAGAGAATACATACATCGACAGAATATAATTCCAGATAGAATTTAAGAAGGACACAGGAATTAGGAGTATTGAAATGGTTGTATAATCACTTATTTTTGCTTTCAAGTGGAGCTTTATGGCCAATATGTTGTACAGAACTCAGGTTGGTGGTTGCATAATAAAAATAGGAATAACTAGACAAATCATGATGGAAGCTGTCATGAGTTTCAAGGGTAAAGCACTGACGAGAGAAAACATTAAGAACACATTACATTGAAATGGCTGAAGAAAAGAAGAAATGTAAAGTTTTGATGCTAGTCAGCCTAGCTGTGGTGGACCTGGATGCAACTTGATTGAGCAAGAAAAGTGTGAATTGCCAAGAGATTAATAGTTGTTTTACATCTAATCAATGATCATAAGACTGCATATTCAGACATTTGTGGAATAGCACAGGATTTTGTACAAGAGAAGAGGCTGGCAGAAGAGGATTTTCTGACTGTATTAGTCAGGAAATCTAGTCTACCAATTGAAAGGGAATTAAGGTGATAAAATATCCTCAAACAACTAGCAAGCAAGATAAAGCGATGAAACTAAGCTCTGAGTGCATTTAAAATAGTATGAGTTTGTCTAAATGAAGCAAATATTTAGTTTTTCATAGATTCATAAATTGTAGAGTCGGAAGGGACCACAAAGGATCATCGTGTCTGGCCCCCTGCCCCAGCTTGACATCAGTGGAAGTTGAGAGTACTAGCACTTTATGGTAAGAGACTTTTATGAATACAGCTGATTTCCTCTGACACATTTCTTTTTTTCTTCTCTAGGTGGCTTTCATGTTTAAATCTTAGATTATTGACATTGCCTCAAGTTTCTACAGGGTGAAATGATAATTTTACTGTCTTCAGTATGAAATTTATACCCCTATGCTTGTGACCAGTTGAAAAGTTACTGACAGAGGCAATGCCATGATCAGAATCATATTGTTTTACTTCCATCCAACCGTCCATGCTAGGAGCTGCCCCCTGGGGAATGATGAAGAGACTGCAACAATTTGAGTTCTAGGTCTCTTGAGGAATATCAGTCCCTTGCAGTTTTAGATTTAAACTTTAGACTGGATGTGGGTAAGAGTTTAACCAAGAGAGAAGTTTGCAAAGTTAATGAGGGTGAACAAAGGGATCACTGGAGTACAACTTGGCCATTGCCAGTATATAAGTAAGGGCTGAGCGTTTCAAGAACTTTAGCTAAAAAACTTTTAAACTTCCAGTGATGGAGCCTCCACAACCATGCTGGATAATTCCAGTGCTTAATCAGTCTCAATTATTTCCTATCCTGACATTTACCCCCTTGATAAATTTCTAGAGATGAGTCCTATTTTCTTTCCATGTTTGCTTTCATATGCTAAACAGGCCAAATTGTTTTAGTCTTCTCTGTAAAATAAAGTTCTGACCAACCTAGTAGCCCTTCCCTGCACCTGTTTCAATGCGAACTTATTTTTCTTGAACATGGGTGACCAGAAATTCACACAATGTATGAGTTGAGGTTTTAACAGGGCCTGGTATAATGGCATCAGTATTTCCCCACCCCTACTGGAAGGACCTCACCTGATGCATTTTAGAATTGTGTTTCCCCATCACATCAGTGGCTCATAATCATTCTGTGCTTAACTAGTGCACTCTGGTCTTTGTACTTTGTACTATGTTGTTTCTGGCTGATGAGTCTCCGCTTACGCTGGGAATTCTTGTTATTAAACCCTGTATGCATGACCTTGCACATGATATTATTATAGTTCATCTGGTTTTATTTGACCTGTCCTCAAAGTCATCTATTTCTTCTTGTATTCCTATTCAATATTCCATTCTGGCTGTGTTGACAGTGTCTCGCAACATTGTCTCATCAGCAAACCTCATGAATACTCTCCTGCTTCTTGTGCCAAAGTCATTAATGGCAATATGAAACTACTGGTCCCAACACTGATCACTGAGGAATCCCACTAGCAGCTGCCTTCCAGCCCAGTAGTTCCTTTTTGAGCACAGCCCCTTATCATTTCCTCTTTTACTATTCTTGCACTAATTCCATTTTTTCTCCAGTTTAACTACTAATTGCCCATTTGGTGCCATAGCAAATGCTTCACTCAAGTCTAGATGGATGAGACTACTACATTTCTTGTTGTTCTTGTAATCAGGCAGAAGTACCCTTGATATGATAGTTTATTAAAAATCCTGGCTATTTCTCTTGCAATTTCATGTGCTAGTTTCTTCCTGTATTCTTGTACTCTGGGATAGATATTAGCCAGTCCCCCAGCTTTGAGTGTGTTATGCTCTTTGAGTTTGGCTTTCACCTTCGATGCAGTAATTCACATTTTGATATACTCTTTCCCATTATCCTTTTTGCCTTTGCCCATATGTCCTAGAATATCATCCTTCTTGGAAAGCAGAGGTAAAGTGTTCATTTAATTTGTTAGGCCCCGTATCTTTGCTGGTAGGAGATTAAAAACAGTATAGGCTGTGACTGCTCTGCCTACTCAAAGGTGAATCCACTGCTGTGAGATGCTTTGTCATATAGGACAGAAAATGAATTGGCTTCTGGAGGTAGAACAAGATGGACCTTCAGAAGCAAAGGCAAATGGAGGAGGAAGAAGTTTTGGCTAAAAAAGGGAATGTAGGGGAAATAGAAATCCAAGCAATGTTGATTAGATAGCTAAATCCATGGCTGCAAATCAGATTTCTTTTTTTTTTTTTTTT